AATTCATCTTCTCACAAGACTGTGAATCCCTCCCGAACAGGAACCACATTGCCCTATCTTTCTCTTTTGGCTCCTGACACATAGTAGGCTCTTGGAACAGGTGTTGTTAGCTGTTAATTCCTGGGTCTTTTCATCATGGCCTCAGAGATGCAAAATAACTTGGAAATTTGAAATGGAAATGCAGGACCTCTTTATTCCTTTCCTCAGGAAAAGTCAGAAGCATCCGCCTCCCTTTTCGCCCTGTGGGTTTGCAAGCTAATGAGCAGACTCTGCAGTAGTTCATTGGCCTGGGATGAGTTCCTTGCAGGGTACGCTGGGGTGTTGTGGGCTTTGCTGACTGATGACATCAGCCTCACTTTCTAGTGTCTCATTCCCATAGACCTAACAGACGCAGCAGTGCTGTTTCTGTCTCCCTTCTCTCTCTTTTCTCTTCTAGCTTCTTTAATTGTTCCCCAAACAATATTGTTAAATTAATGAATGAGAAAATCAGGATTTTGCCTTTCAAGCAAAGGAGAGCTGCCCGAGGTGAATGAGTTATTTGAAGGCAACTGGTCTTAGGCGGAACGAGGAGAATTTGTTTTTCACAACTGGTCTTTCCTGTGTAACCTTCAGAAACACACTGAAGCTAAACGCAGGGTTTGTTTCTGATCCCAAACTCCAGCCTGCAATGTTTCCTTTCTTTTTTGCGGGGAGAAAATATCCTTGTACTTCTGACTACTATTAGAGACTTGAATCACATCTGCCCAAGAACCAGGAGCTCCTGGTTTTCTCTGTGGATGATAGTCTTCTTTTCCTGAGCACCAATCTGCCATAAACAGAAAAAAAGTAAGATGGTACCCTGGCCTGTGTGGCTCAGTGGTTGAGCATCAACCCATGCATCAAGAGGTTGCCGGTTCGATTCCCAGTCAGGGCACATGCACAAGTTGTGGGCCAAATCCCCAGTGGGGTGTGCAGGAGGTGGCCAGTCAATGTTCTCTCTCATCGATGTTTCTATCTCTCTCTCCCTCTCCCTTCCTCTCTCTCTCAAATCAATAAAGAAAAAATATTTTTAAAAAAAGTAAGATGGTAATGGGACCAGTGTCTTGGATGTTGATTAAAATTATAGGAGCTCTCCAATTTTGTCTATCATAGGTCTTATATTGAAGTCTTGTTTCTTTCTCCTATTTTATTTATAAGATTGACTTTTATTTGACCTATGCCTCTCACACATTAAGTTCTCTGAGTAAATTTGAAAAATCTTCAGTACAAAATGAAAGATAATTAAAGGCCTTATGAACTGCATACTCTGTATATTGATGTGGTGCTTCCGTGACAGCTTGCTGGGGAGTTTGGAGCAGAGCAGGTTTTCTCTAAGACAGAATTTTGGGGGTTTGGTAACAATGTTACATAGGCACTGTGCTGATACAAAGGAGAACCTGAGAAAGATACATCCGTAAAAATGCTTGTGAAATTATTATATTTGTAAAAGCCTTCTCTGGGCATTACTAGACAAAGTCTCTGGACATGTTGGAAATGCAAAGAAGGTTAGACTGGGGACCGCATTTCAGGGAACGTCACAGGCCTGACCTGAGCTGCGCTCACAAACCTACTCAAAAGAAGCTGAAGCGAGACGTGCAGATGGTTATTAGAACTAAATGGAAGAACTGATGACTTACTTATATGTGATCAGCAATTACATAATACAGAACACCAATTAGGAATTAATGGTTCACATTGATGTGGTGATCTTTATTATTTTTTTAAATCCTCATCCAAGGTTATTTTCCATTTATATTTAGATAGAAAGGGAGGGAGAGAGGGAGGGAGGGAGAGAGAGAGAGAGAAACATTGATATGAGAGAGACACATTGATTGGTTGCCTCCCACACAACCCGACCAGGGCTGGGGACTGAGCCACAACCGAGGTACATGCCCTTAACTGGAATGGAACCCACAACTCTTTGGTCTGCGGGCTGATGCTCTATTCACTGAGCCAAACAGGCCAGGGCAATGATCTTTTTCTTTTTTTCCAATTATAGTTGACATTCAGTATTATTTTATATTAGTTTCCGGTGTATAGTATAGTGGTTAGACAATCATATAATTTACAAAGTGATCCTCCTGATAATTCTAGCAGCCACCTGGCACCATACATAGTTATTACAGTATTATTGCTTATATTCCCCATGCTGTACTGTACATCCCCCTGACTATTTTGTAACTACCAATTGTACTTCTTAATCCATTCACCTTTTACACACAGCCCCCAACACCTCTCCTATCTGGCAACCCTCAGTCTGTTCTCTGCATCCATGAGTCTGTTTCTGTTTTGTTTGTTCCTTTATTTTGTTCTTTAGATTCCACATGTAAGTGAAATAATATGGCTTTTGTTCTCTGACTGACTTATTTCACTTAGCATAATACCCTCTTGGTCCATCTATGTTGGTGCAAATGGTAAGATTTCATTCTTCTTTTTTATGACTAATATTCCTTTGTATGTGTGCAACACATCTCCTTTATCCATTCATCTATTGATGGACACTCGGGTTGCTTCCATATCTTGGCTATAGTGCATAATGCTGCAGTGAATGTAGGGGTGAATGTGAAGATATTTAAAATAAAGGGAAAGAGTGTGACAAAGTAGAAGGAGTATGAGAGGGACCCAGGTTTGAATCCTGACTCTGTTCCTTGCTAGTTGTGTGGCCTTAGATAAGTTCCTTAAACTTTATTAACTGTATATTTCTTATATATAAAATATCTTTTCACAGGTCATAGAACTATTACAAACCAATAAGAAAAAGACAAACAACCAATAGAAAAATGAGTTAAGGGAATGAAAGAAAAGGATATGTATCAGTAATTCATGAAAAGATACTCAATCTCACAAACGGAATAATAAAATAAATAAATAATAAAGCAACAGCCCTGGCCAATTGGCTTAGTTGAAGCATCATCCCATATACCAAAAAGTTGTGGGTTTGATTCCTGGTTAGGGCACATTTCTAGCTTGTAGGTTTGATCTCTGGATCCCTGTTAGGGGTGCATACGGGAGGCATTCAATCGCTGCTTCTCTCTCACATCGATGTTTCTCTCTCTCTCTACCTCTTTCTCTAAAAACAATAAACACATATCCTCGGGTGAGGATTGAAAAAAGTAATCATAAAGCAATGAGTTACCATTTTTTCTCTATCAGAGGCTCAGAATTTTAAAGACACAATGCTTGCAAAAATGTAGTAGAGAAATAGACATGCTCAGCTCATTTTAGTGTGAATGTAACTGAGTGCAACCTCTTTGAAAGATGATGGGCAAATTTATAAATGTACACATTCTCTAACAGGAAGATTTTTTCCACTGTATACAATTTGGATTTTTTTTTTTTTTTTTTTGCCATGTGCATATATTACTCTTTCAATAAGAAATAAGTGTTAAGTAATTTGAAAAAATTAACTCCTATTGACAGGAAGACCCCATCATTCTAGCAGCAAAATGATGCTTCTTAGGTGACATCATGAAACAGCCCTGAGCAGCAGTAGCCCAGGGTTTCCTCTCCTCATGTCCCACATCCATCCAGACTTACTCCAGGGCTCTGAGGGAATCAGATCCATCTACTCTTTCATATTCTTCTTCTTTCCCTCTCGTCCTTCCCCTTATTTCAGAAACAATTCAAGAGGGAATGATGGGAACTTAACACAGGTGCTCCAGAGCTAAAGCTAATTAAAGTTATTTGTACTAATTTGCACAATTTGTAATATTAAATTTTGATTATAGAAAACTTTTCTGGATTATGCTCTTTTCAGGCTATTTTATTTTTACTTCCTGAACACATGCATACTGTAATAGCAGGAAAAACGCTCCCAGAACATGGTAGAAGGTTGGCAGAGGCCAGCCAGTTATTTAAAAGTGGTTGTGGACGAGGTACACTTCAAATTGGGTTATGATTCCCTTCTGAGAATGAAAATTGAATAATCAAACTGTGATTAATGAGATTGGTAATCTGTGACAATAACATAACCAGAGATAGCCTTTTAAAAATATATATTTTTATTGAGTTTTTTTTTTAGGTAGAGAGAAAGGGAGAGGGGGAGAGAGATAGAAACATCAATGAGAGAGAAACATTGATTGGCTGCCTCCTGCAAGCCTCATTACTAGAGATGGGGCCCGCATCCTGGTCATGTGCCCCGACCAGGAATCAAACCAGTAACCTCTCAGTGCGTGGGACGACTTTCAGTCCACTGAGTCTCACCGCCCAGGCACCAGAGAAAGCCTTTTAATATTTGATTAGCATTTGAGTAATATCCCAAATCCAATCAAGGTGACCTGGCTATAATTTTAGGGAAGCAAGACATGAGATTAAATTAAGAAAGTGTAAACGTCATCAACCATAATGAGCTCTTTCGGAAGATGGTGTTACTGGGCAGTGGGGAGTGCATGAGGCCTATAACAGTCCCTGGGACAGGGTGGTGGGAGGCAAGTGCTGGTCATGTGTCTCCGAGGCAGATTGGAACAGAGGGTCTTAACCACCAACATACAGTCCACTTGGAAATGTTTATCCCTATGGATAATGTATGTCTATCAGGTAAAAGCCATTAAAGTTATCCAGCCAGACCTGGCCCGCTCCCTGTGCCAGCTGCCCAGGTTTATTTGGCTTCTCATACAAGTTTACCTTCAGCCAGCCTGACCTGATGCCATTCCGGTCTCAGAAGACCCCTGCAGGCTTCAGGAGTCATTTAGTTTAACCTCTTCTCAATACAGGAATGCTCCCTGACGTCTTATCACTTCCTACACCAGTCCCGTCATCCATCATACTTTTAAATAAACTTGTTCTATTTCTGAGTAAATTTTCTCTCCCAGCTGCAGTTCCAAAATTGTATCAGTCCTCTTTTAAGGCTCCTGAAACCCAAATCCACTTTTATGAAGTGAATATGTTCTCATAACTTTATTTGGGGGGAAAGGAAACCAATACAATTGTTATTTTAATTTCTTTATTTATCAAGAATATCCAAAAAAAAAAAAAAAATCAGGAGTTACAAAAACACGTTAAATGCAATATGGAAGCCTACTAAATGCAAATACATTTCACAAACACATAGGCAACAGAAACCTGTTCAAATTGCTTCTTGAAATTTGACTATTTAAAAACATAAGTGTAAAGGAAAGACATTCAGACTGGTTCACATGGACTTATTGGCAGGTGGAAGAGCCTTGCTTTCCAAAAACAGTGATGGAGTCCAGAGTCCTGGAATGTGAGGTTTCCATGGACACTGGATCTTAACAGAAGCTGTAATTAATGTTTATAAAACCATACACACACAGAGAAAGCCCAAGGAAGCTTGCAGACTAAGCCCTGTGCTTTTAGAGAGCTGGAAGAAATGAACCCAATTTAATCCTGTTTATTTGCTCCATGCAAGACTCCCCAAAATAGGCTAGTTAGCAGCTTTCTTTGAAAGGTCACCAGATCGAGTGATTCTGTGGTGCAGACAATAGCTTCCCTATTTACAGGGGGAATGCACACTGACTCTTGGGAATTCTAAGTTGCAGGGTAGGGTAAGTCTTGGATGGCAACCACTGTCCTAAATGTTACTGGTGAGGAGACACTCTGGTTTCTTGCTGTAAACAAACTGGTATTCCAGTTCTCACTCCGTGTCCAAGTGCTGGCAGACTCGCTCAAGCCGTGCTTCTGGGGGTCTTCCAAGGCACTGGACAGGAGGTGCATTTCACAAGTAGGGTTCGAAGGGAGCTTTTAAGTGGGATGTAGATAAAGCTTAGAATTCTACCCAAGTGGAATGTTCTCCTTTCAAAGGAGAATAAAGAAAGTTGTTCAGAAGAAGTTCCATTTTCAGTACAAGTTTCTCAGTTGCCTGTGCAGTACAGTCTACATAACTGCCCTCTGGCGCTCTGTCATCTGCCTTCGGAAAATGAGATGTCGAGTTTTTCATCTTTGTTATTCCACATGCATGTTCAATGTGGTATTGAGTGGGGTTAGTAAATACACAGGCCAAAAGACACAGGAAGGACATCTCACCAATCACAATTTTAAGATCAAATTTCCACTTTTCCCCCCTCTTAAAATGTGACATCTCCTTGTGTCCTCATCTCTAAATGGACAGCCCTTTCTGTTTCCAAGAAGGTTAAAGAGGAAATGCAAGAGTGAAGACAAAGTGGCGTGGTTCTCCTCCCCACGCTCCCAGGGCAGGGTTTACCCCAGAGCGCTCTGCCGCCACACAACCGGAGGGGCCGTTCAGGCTGAGGTCAAATTTGGTCATCTTGTTTTTGGCTGTATCTTTTTCTTATAACAAGTTTCCATTTATCCTAAGAAGAACTTGAATGGCAGTCACAGGAACCTGTCTCCTCTAGACCAATGATTGGAACCAGACTTTATAATTTATGAAATCGAAAGGTTAATGCATTCCTACCTGCTCACTGAGGAAACTGAGGCCCCGAAATAGGAAAGGCCAGGGCCAAAGTCACTCTCCTAGTTAGTGGTGGATCAAGGAGCACGCCGATAGGCTGGGATATCCAAGCCTTACTTGGCTACACTTGTCTCCATCCTTTGAAATACTGATGTTCATGAATTTAGAATAACAGAACAAATTAGCCTTTGGATCTTGAAAGCTTTGTATGGAGATGCTTCTCTTCTCTGGCAGCCTGCTGATCCCCTGGAAGCCGGGAGTGGGGGGCAAACTCTGGGCTGTAGCTAGTATATGGCAGGGTGGGAAGTCTGGGTTATAGCGGTCCCCGCAACAGGAAGAACCCCAAACTCCCTCACCTCTGAAATGGTAGGACTACTGGAAAATAATTACAAAAGCTTAATTTCTAGTCAAGAAAATAAAATATTAAAAATAACAACAATAATATGATAATAATTTGAAGATGAAGTCAACATGCCAAAAAAAGTTTTACAGAAAAATAGCACCTTTGGTAAAAAGTATTTAAAAAAAATTGTTTAGGTCTCTAAGGGGCTGAACATACACAAGTATCTGCATCATTTGGGTGCACCCTCCCAGAAACTCCATCAAGTCTGAGTGATGCTGGGGAACGAGCAAGACAGCTGCGTATCTAGAGGCAGGGGGTGGGGCCACGAGGAGACGCAAAGATGCTGGAGTCTGTTATGCAGACGGCAGCAGAAAGGGCTGGAAGCAGAATGTGTTCTTCTCCGCGAGCTTCCCACACCCCTCCTCTAGGGATAGTCTGCTAGATTCTCTCTGGCACTGCTTGCTCTCCCTGCAGCGTGTTTATAGCTGTGGCAGACACAGAAGTGGTTCAGACCTGGGTCCACTCCTCTCCCGGCCCTGATGCAGTTTCCTTACTTGCCTCCAGCCCCCAAGTCCCATGAATAGTTTCTCTCAAATCACTCCCAGAAATGAAGGCTATGGCCCTTCCCCTCCTAGCCACCACTCCCTGTTCCTTTATTGCAAAACAAATAGACAAAATAAAACTTGTTGCTATACAGGCAAATACTGGTGATTTGGCGATTGTAGCAGACACTTGTGTATACTGGACTCAGCGCTGAAGTGGAGGAGAAGGTGCCGGGCTCTGGACACCGTTCCCAGCTGCCTCCTCACTAGATCTCTTTGGTGCTCACTCTCTTGGTCTTTTCAGCTGTTTCCTTTGAGAGGCAAGAGAAAAATGAGCATGATGAAATATTTTTTTTTAAATCACTAGCATTTATCCACTCCTCCAGACTTTATCTAGCACTGACGGACATATGGTGATGCTGAATTTTAGTTCTGTTTCCTTGTCTGTCTCCTCTATGGATGGCAAACGACTTGTGGGCATGGATCATGTCTTCTTCATGACATGGTCGTGTAGGGGCTATCACTGAATTAACAGCTGACCCCATGTGAATCCCTAGGAAACAATCAGGTCAGATATTGTTATGCCCATTTTAAAGATGAAGAGAAGGATACAAAAGGAAAGTGCTACAAGACGTCCTGAGTCCAGGTCCGGAGAGGCATTAGGAGCAACAGGCTCTGGAGGCATGTGCCTGAGCTTCAGCTGTGGCTGTGCTACTTTCTGGGGGACTTGGAGCATGTTATGATGCTTCCCGTGCCTCTATGTCTTCAACTACAAAATGAGGCTAATAAAGTGTCATCTCTTACAAGTGATACATTTCTCCAAAGAAGACATTCTTCTTACAGCCTATAAACACATGAGGAGACATTCAACATCATTCATTACGGAAATGCAAATCAAAACTACAATGAGATGCCACTATACCAGGATGGCTAAAAGACTGGACAGTGACAAATGTGGGCGAGTTTGTGGAGAAACTGAAACTGCTGGTACGGATGTAAAATGGTACAGCCATTTTGGAAAACAGCTTGGTACTTCCGCAAAAGATTAAACAGAGTTACCATTTGATCCAGCAATTCCACCCCTAACTATATACCCAAGAGAACTGAAAACACAAAAAGGTGTGCAAGAATGTTCATAACGACATCATTCATCACAGACAAAAGTGGAAACCTAAATATCCATCAACCGCTGAATGGATACACAATATGTGCTATATCCATACCATGGAACGTTATTTAGGCACAAAAAAGAGGAAAGCATGCATGTATATCAACAGTAACTGAAAAAAATTTTAAAAAGTACTGAAGCACTGATTCATGCTATAACTAGGATAAACCTTGAAAACATTATGCTAAGTGAAAAAAGTCAGGCAGAAAACACTGTGTAGTATATAATTCCATTTATAAATGTCCAGAACAGTCAAATCCACAGTTAGAACGTAGGTTAGAGGTGCCAGGGAAGAGTGAATGTAGAGTGTCTTCTAACGGCTGTGAGGTTTCTTTGGGGGATGACAATGTTCTGGATAGATCATGATGGTGGTTGACAATCTTGTGAATATACTGAAATCCACTGGATTATACACTTTCAAGGTGTGAATGTCACATATGAATTCTAGCTCAATAAAAAATTAAATAGGAAATAAAAACAACAGTGACTGGTATCTAGCAGACGCTGTTGGTGCCCTGTCCACAGCCCCTGGTCTCTACCGTTTCAGTTCCCTGGTGAGGCTTCTTACTGCGAGTATCTGCACCTCTTTTTCTGCTGCTGCAGCCTGCTCTGCTCACACGTGTTGGCAGGCCAGAAATGCCAGCGGACTTACATTTGCTGGCGGCAGCCTCACCAATGGCTGACAGGAGTTCGTGTAGGAACACCCTCAGGCATGGAATCTCTGCTCCCACAGTTCTGCACAGGGACTAAGTTCCCTTGCCCACAGTGGTTAACTCCGCTGGATACACACTTGATTGCTTCCATCCCTTCCTGAGCTCACTTCCCAACTCCCCTTCTGGTGTTGCCTGTGTTGCCTCCCAAATAAATGATTTGTACTTGAGTCCTTGCCTTAGCATCTGCTCCTGAAGGAATTCACAGAGACACTTAAAAAGATAGCTAACCCCTCACTCTCTACTCTGATCATCTCTATATCCTAGAAGAAAGAAATTCCCATGAGTTTTTTGTTTGTTTGTTTTTGTTTTTGTTTTAATGGAGTTGTATTTATCTGGAGACTCAAGCCTGCTAAAATATGGAAAAACAGAAGGTTGGGAGATTCTACTTTGGTTCAAAAAACTGACATGAGGTTTCTACACTATTAGTGACAATAATGACAAAATTCATATAAAATCAATAAATATGAGCAATTACAGTTAATATGAACAATTCTTTATTTTCAAGTCAAATATTCCATCTTAATAGTTTCTCAGTTTTTGTGACTGCTATATTCCTTAAAAACGTCTACATCAGAGAGAAGGCTTGAATTACCAGACCAGATTTGCAGACAGGTGGTCTAGGGTACAGTACCTTAGTTAAGGCCATCTCATAAACTAGTGGAAAGACAGGCCTGGGAGTACAGCATACCCATGTTTTCCCTCTAGGCCCTTAGCAAAATATGTCAGTGGATCACTATTCTGATAAGAACTTTTTCCCCAAGAAGGCCTTCAACTTGACACAGAATCTGAATAGAATTCTTATCTTCTCTTCAGGAAGCAGAACCTCAGAGTTTCCAGTGTTTGTGAATCCCAGACTGTTTTCTAGCCAGCTTCGCATTTAACTTAAATCCTTTCTGCTGTAGTCCAAACCCACTAATTTCACGCTCATTGAGGCCAAGTGTATATCAAGCCCTGTGCTAAATACAGGGATGCAGTGGTGAGCAAGCCATAGAGCTTGGCCTGCAGGAATCCATGGTCTTTGGGTCTGACACTGGTTGTGACAGAAAACACTGAATTTATTTAACCTATGCTCATTTGCAAACCACTTGCAACCCATTTGCAAAGCACCAACAGGCTGATTCTTATTTATAAAGCAATTTATCAAGTTGTAATCTACATCTGTTAGGACCAACAGGACCTTGCAAGGACCCCACCAGGGGACTGTATCATGGTTTGATGCTATAGGTGTATCACACAGGACCTACTGTATTAAGCAGAATGCATCTTTCTGGTCTCCTGGGACATTAGGCAATATCTGAGTGGTGGAAGGGCCTGGTGGTGGCAGAGATACCTGAATCAGCATGGAGGCTGCAACTCACCTGGTGCTTTTGGAGCTCCTGGACGTATCTGGTCATCTCCTCCCCTGTCTGGGTCTGGGCCCCTTTCTGATTCTTTCCTGCAAGAAGAACCAAGGCTCAGAGCAGAGGTGGCTGACTGAAGCCAGTTAGAGATCCCGCTGGTATCTACTGTCTACGTTCTTAATTTCATCTCCCATTAAATCTGTGGGAAAAGAAGTGAATTACCTACATTCCTCTGACACCTCCAAAGCGACACACCTCAAACAAAGCAAACTACCCCCACTCTTCTCTGGACTCTGTTCCTAGTGGCTTCAATTGCTCCAGCACTGAAGGGACTGGCCTTACAGAAAGAGCTACGGAGAAAATCCGGATCCTGACTCAGAAGTTCTTCTGGGGCTGTGATTCCCTCCCTTTCACAGGCCCTGGAGAACGATTCAAATACAGTGTTCAGACTGCACCGCCAGAGACCGTGATTTGATTGTTGTGAGGTGGGGCCTGGCATGGGGTTCTGTAAAGCTCTCAAGATGGTTCTGACAAGTAACCAGGGCTGATCACCACCACACCTACAATATTTACCAAACTTGCAGAGTGGAAAAAAAGAAAAATCACAGAATACATCTTAAAAACAGGTCTTCAAGCTGTTCTTTTGCAGATTCTGATTCAGTATGTTTGGGATGGAGCTCAGGAATCTGTACATATCAAGAACAGCACTGTCGTTAGGTAACACTGCATCACCAAGGCTTCCTGACTTCAGCATCTAGCTGCCTCCAAGGCAACTTCCCTTGGCCCCGGCTCCAGCTGCCTTCACGTCTCGGTGCCCCTTCTTTTCTACTCCATTGGGATTTAGGATCTAACTTTCAGGTACTGACCTGAAAATGCCTTGGATGCGCCCTCTACAAAGTCCTCTAGATCCACAGCCCACACACTAAGACTTGCTAATGCCCCTGGAGCACCACCATGGAGAGCGCTCTTTGCACCCACGCAGGGCTCTGAATCTGGGCCATCCAGAGAGGGCGAACAAACCAGTTACTGTGGAAATGGATGTGGTTCCATGGGGACAATCATTTGGATTTTGTCTGATGCATGTGACAGGGTTCATTATCCAGATGATCATAAACCAGCTGTTCGCCATAAACCAACTGCCTGCGTCTTAGAAATGGATGGCTACCTTTACCTAGCCAGACCAGGAGCAGTTAGGTGTGGAAAGCTATTGTGGGAGTTTGGGGAAGATGAGTATGGGAGGCTTCCTCCTTGAGGCAGGCTGGGTACTGTTTTGAGATGTTCTCTCTTGGCTTCAGTAGCTACTATGTGCTTCGCATGGCTACCCTGTTTGATTTGGCCTTCAGCAACTTCTAGGCAGTTCTAGTTTCTAAACAGCCTCTTCCTGCTCTTTCACTTGTCTCTGGAGTTAGGGGGCCTCCTGCTCTCCCACACTAAGAAGAGACGTAGTCCCGGGAAGTGGGACACAAGGGATCCCCTGGGTAGTACTGAGTTCCATTTGTACTGTTGGTGTTGTCTGGGCTTTTGAGCTAAAGAAATCTCTTCCTGGATCCTTGAACTCTGCCTCCAGTTACCAGTTTCATTGACCTTGAACATGACCCTAGGACCAGACTTGTCTTGACTTAGTTGGCTTTTTAAGATATAATTTTAGGTTCACTCCACCTGGTGTAAAATTTGGGCTTGATTCCTTCCAACTGACCTTTCTTCCCTGAGCACATGTGACCTGGCTTCACCTTCTCTGTCTTGCCTCCACTCTGAATGGGGCCTGGTGTTTTCCAAGGGCTCAGCTTTAATCTTTGACATCATTGGAGCCCAGGACTCTGATGGGGCCCTAGTGGTTCCAGTATACACTTTGGCTTCTGCACTGGCCTCCCAAACTCTCTGACATCTCTAGATCCCCAACCCATCCTGCCCATGTCTCAAATACCTCAACTTTCTCTTTTTTGAAGGAATATCTAATTCTGTTAGTTCACAGAAGGTCTACAAATAATCTTCCTTCTTCTGCTGAGAATAGGTAACGAGGAGGAGTCATTTTATCTTCCAAATACCTGAGTTTTTACATTGAGGATTTCCTTAGCTGTCATAAGGATTAAGTGGGTTAATATGTAAAGTGACTGGAAGCTGCCTGGCACGTTGTTCTCAGTAAATTAAGTGTTTGCTTTCATTATTATCACTAGTCCAATCTCCTATCAACATCTGATCTTGCCCTGGGTCTTGAACGTCTTTTGTTCCAAGCCTCTGGAGTGGTTTTCAGACTTTAATCATCTGGGATAAGTGCTTCGTCCTCAATGCTGCCTTCTAGGAGCTCCAGTATGACAAGTTCGAGTCTGTCCCTTGCTGCCCAGGTTCCTTGCTCCCAGCTACCACCTTACTCTTCTCGATCATCCCCACCCCGACTCCTCTCGTGGTGATTCTGTGAAGGAAGCTCTCTCCCTGTTGTTCCTTCTTTCCGCCTGAGGCACAGCTCACCGTCACAGGTCATGGCTGTGCAGACCCAGTTTCCACAGGCACAGACACAGCGGTTACAGTCCACCTCCGTCTCGGCTCCATCTGCGTACATTTCATCCTCCAGGGCACACTCTGTAGAGACCAGAAATAAGGGGCAACAGTTTAGGGTGAAGGTGGAACACAGAGTCCTGACTACAGTCTGTGCACTTTTCCCCTTCCAGAGACACGACCTGCCTGTCCCTCAGAGGCACCACATCTGAGCAAATGCTACACCAGCCAAAGGTTTTGGGACCTGAACATCACCCTGGAGATGATGGGCTGGAGCCCACCTAGAGTCATGGAAGGGAATTTTCTTAGCAAGCTCTGGAGAGTGCCATCAGTTTTGGCTCCCCAAAATGCTCCCAGCCCCTCTAACTCCCCATTTCTTGGGTTAAGCATACTCTTCTCGGGGGGGTTGAAGGACGGGTTGAGGCACTTGAGGAACTCTTGGAAGCTGAGTTTCCAGTCAGCATTTTCATCAGACAGTTCAATGAGAGCATCAACACAGAGTCCTCTGAAACAGAACACAGGAGAAATGTGTCAGCCAGACCTCAGTGTCATTCCCGAAGAAAGAAGGTAAGCATCAGGACCACATACACCCAGGACCCCAGAGGAGGCCAAGAAGGTGACTGTTAAGTAAGAAAGTTTCTCTCTACACTGACCTCCCTCAGCCACCCACCATCCTCACTCTTGTAACAACCTTCAGTTTGTTATACCGAATGTCAGTTCACGCAAATGTTCCCAAGACAGCTGAAATTTCCCAAATGGTTTTGTTCAGTTTTGACTGACAAAGGTTTCACTGCCTGCACACCTTCCACCAGTAATTGCCTTTCCCTGTGGAATAAGTGTCAAGCCAACCAAACTAGGAAAATCAAAACAGAAGAAAGAGGAATAGACGATCTGAAAGAACGTGTGATTTGAAAGAATGCGGAGTTCAAGCAAGCATCACTATTCTAGAAGTTTCATAGAACCCCAGCTCCCTCACTCTCCCCGTGGCCTGGATTTTGAGCCCTGGCTCAATCACTTACTACCCAAATGGCCTTGAGCTAGTTATTCAACCTTTCTGTGCCTGTTTTCTCATCTGTAAAATGGGGACAAGAAGTCCTCCTTCACTGAGATTTAATGAGGACCAAATGCTGAACTTGTAAAATATTGTCTAATTTTAGGTTATCAAAATGTGAAGCATTTTCAGATACTATATTTAGGCCATGTACTATTTTTAAGAAGGAATCTTTCTAGAATCTGGGCTTTGTACTTCTTTTAAATGCAGTGGTGCTTAAACTATTTTTAATTCTTACCAATGTATTGGAACCACACCAGAAGTTTCTTAGGGATTCATTTTTATTACTATTTACTCTGGGATAATACCAGAAAAGGAGAAGGATGTACTCACATTTGTAACAATTAAGGTTCTCTACATGCAATATCTCAAAAAATTATCTCAAAAAGTCAGAACTAAAGCTATTTTAGACCTACACTTAAATAATACATTAAAGTAATTCCTTCAGAAAATTAACCATTAAAACATTACCCACAGCACTCATAAACAACTTTGCTCTGATGTGACCATGGTCATTTATTTTAAAATTACACGCTTCTGTTCCTTGCAAGTTTTAGCCAAAAACAATAACCATTTGATCAGATAACAGTGATGCTCAGTATATTAGTTCATAATGTTCATAATGTCCACAGAGTAAACCAGGCAGAATTCCTGTTTTAGTTTTTACTTCACATTAGCACTGCTCTCCTTTGCAGCTAGGAAGAGGTTCAAACCCCTGCTCCTCTCCAGCCTTCCCCGCAGGGACCCTTCCAGCCCCTCTCACTCCACTCACCTAAGCAGCTTGTTGTTCTCCTGGTCTGCATAGGTGGTGATGTTGATGGCGGTTTCATTCTGCTCCACAAATTTCAGGAATTCACTGGAGTCCAAGCGAGAGTCACCATTATCGAAGTTCTAGAAAGGGATGAAGAGATCTTTCAGGAACACTTTGTAGAACCCAGTTCCAGCGTTTCCCTACGTGGCCCGACTCACTTCTGATTCACCTTGTTCTTGTCACCTTCCAACCACCCCTGCCTTGACTTGGCCTCAGAGAGCTACAGCACCAAAGGCTCAAATCCCTGGGCACTCAGAGACGGCGCCTGAGCCCCAAGATGGAGTGTGACATGCCCGGGCAGAGGCCACTGAGGGCCTTTCAAGCCCAGACCTGGCTCAGGAGGGCAGCCTGAGCCCACTTGTGTTGCCCAAGAAGCCTAGAAGGCTTGGGAGACTCTGCAGAGAGTCAAGATGGCAGCCCCGGGTTCAGGCCAGCCACCACACCAAGTTCTCAAACCCTAACGAACATGGACTAACAAAGCTGTGAGTCAAAATACCTGCAGTGGAGCATAGGATGTGTATTTCTAACGCACTGCTTGGCAGCAATGACACAGGTGGCCCTCAGCGCTCATAGGACCATTTCCTACTGCCTGATCTCCGGCTTCTCTGGCCTGCTCAGTGCTTAACTTTCACACTCGTACCCCCAACTGACCACATCAGTGAGTCAAAGGCAAAAGGTTTGTATCAGAACCTGCAGGCGGAGACGGTGCAAAGTCCCCCACTCGTCCTGTGCTCTGGGCCCGACTACAGATGTGAGCACAGGTCCTCGGCTTACCCAGGGCAGGCTGTCCTTGTTACCCAGCTGACATCCCACGAGCACAAGGTGAGGGTGTAGTGAGCTCAGACATTGTCCCTACTTTGTCAAGATGATAAATCAAGACCTCTTACTCAGGCCCCAGCTGCAGGAGGAGGCTGTGAATGTCAAGGCTTGGATCAAATTCCAAGTTGAACACTGTTTTCCTAAATAGTTCCAATGGAAAAAGGTTTTTCTTCCAAATTCTTTCCTTAGGTTGCCTCATCCTGCTGCCCTGAGAAATAATCAGCACCCCCATGTCACCTTCAAGGTGGCTCACCAGAAGGTGTAAAGAATTCTGGAAGTAAGGTCTGTCCATGTTTCCAGGTAGAAGGTAAAGGTACAGCTACCAACACTCCTCCCATGACTGTTATGGTCGCATGTGTTCTCCTCTAAGGTTGTACATCTTTCCAGGGTACAAACAGTGACAGGAATGTTTAAGACAATATGAGGGCCTTTGTTTAGTACCTGTTTATCATTTTTGTCCTCCTTTCCAGGAAGAGGTCTCAGATGCACCCCAAGGAAACTTCCCTGAGTGTTCACCTTGTGAGGTCTTGATTCGTTAATGGAGAGAAATGAAAAAAGATTGCCCAGGTACCATTCTTAGCAGCATAGGACTTTCTTGAGTCCAAATGTTGCAAGTGCTGGACAGACCGGAGCTACTCTTACAGACCCCAACACATCAGGGCCTGAATACAGACTGAGTATGGGGAGAGGAACAGTCCAGCAATGGCTGTGGACCCAGAGGGCACCAGGGGTGCCCAGGACCTGGCGACTACAGCTCAGGCAGCTCCGAACGAGCAGTGCTGGGTGCACGCATGTCACATTCAGTGGGACCAGAATCCAGGCCTGAAGCGGAGGGAGGTGCCAGCCTGCCAGCATTCATCTCATGGGGGCCCATTGGGCTTCCCCAGGCCAGGTCTGTATGTGGCATCCTCAGGAAAACAGAGGTCTGATACCCGCCCCAAAACAGCCTGGAATCCCTAGGGGGCCTGCATGGGGTGGGGCATGAACTTGGACCATGAACTTGGACCATGAACCAACCTAATTCACTTGGCCTCTGTTCAACTAACCAGTGACAAAGGCACAGTACCTCTTTATACCTGCATTTCCCAGCTCTATACTTCTCAGTAACCATAGGGTTGTGGAAAGGCAGAAAAGCGTGTTATGAGACCCATGTTTAGGGTTTATTGCAAGTTTAGGGGTTGTGAAAGGAGATGGGCTAGGCCAGGTGCTCACGCACGCTCAGCAGCTGGGGCGATGGAGAACGTGATACCGGGATAAGGGAGATAAGGCTGGATCCGGTTTCAGCCTGGCCCCTAGGAGTCTGCCACCCAGAGTCCAGGGGGTGTGCGTGACATGGCCATGAAAGGCTCTTTCTTCACCTCTGCTCACCCTTCCACCTACGAAATAGTGACTGGATCATCAGCTGAGGTGAGGGTTTGATGTTGGTCTTACCCACATGCTGATTACATTTGCTTTTCAATTAATTTTGCTACAAGGAATGTCAGCTGGGATATCGGGGGATTTACTGGTTCAGTCTCCGTGAGATATGAGATCACCTGTCAACAGGCAGCTGTGTGCCTGGTGGGAAGGATTCTCCCTTTGCAATCGGCACACACAGGTCTCAGATAATCATCAAAAAAATAGATAGCGAAGGACAGATAAAGAGCTTCCCAGCGAGAAAAAAGCTAAAGGAGTTCATCAGCACCAAACCAGTATTACAAGAAATGTTAAAGGGTCTTCTTTAAAAAGAAGAAGAAAAAAAATATGAACAACACAAGGGCAATAAATACATGTCTATCAACAATTGAATCTAAAAAACAAAATAAATGAACAAGCAGAACAGAAACATTTTGACAGTTGCCAGATGGGAGGGCGACTGGGAGATGAGTGAGAAAGGTGAAGGGATTAAGAAGTACAAATCGGGTCCTGGCTGTTTTGGCCCAGCAGTTAGAGCATCAGCCCGTGGACCAAAGAGTTGCGGGTTTGATTCCAGTCAAGGGCACATACTTCGGTTGCAGTTTGGTCCCCAGCCCTGGTCGGGGTCGTGCAGGAAGCAACCAGTCGATATGTCTCTCACACTGATGTTTCTCTCTCTCTCTCTCTCTCTCTCTCTCTCTCTCTCTCCCTCCCTACTCTCCCACTCTATCTGAAGATAAATGGAAAAAAAAATACATCCTTGGGTAAGGATTAAAAAAATAAAGAAAGAAAGAAGTACAAATTGGTAGTTACAGAATAGTCATAGGGATGTAAAGTACAGCACAGGGAATACAGTCAATAACATTCTAATAACTATGTATGGCTCGGATGGGTACAGTTTGGATGGGTACAAGATTAATTGGGATGATCACTTAGTAACGTACTTCGTGTCTAATCACTGGGGTGTACACCTGAAACAAACACTGTATGCCAACTGTAACTGAAAAATGAAAAATAACTTAAAGTAAAAAAAAGTAGACAGTGAAACCCCTATTTGCTTGGAAGACACTGCCCAAGTGATTGGGAAGAATGAGCGTTGTGTGTGTCGGTTGTGACCCAGCTAACCTCGGCTGGGAGAGAGAATGCCCTACAGAAAAGCTACTTTCTCAAGAGGCCTTGTAGGCTTCTGAGGGGAGCCTGTCAGAGTAACTTACTGTCGGAAAAGGTGGTACTGTGCTGAGGGAGGTGTGGCATCCAGGTACTTGGAAATCAAATTAACGCCAGGTGTCGGATACCACCAAGGGGCCACTAAGAACAGTGACGAGATCCCAGACGCCTCTTGGAAAGTGTCCTGGAGCCCCACAACTACCGTGCCATGATGACTCGGCAGGTGCCGCTCACAGGGCTTTTGAAAAACCAATTTCTTTAAGTTTCTTTCTTTCCTGTCTAACTCTCCTGATTTAGCAGTACGGTGAGTTTTTCCATAAATGAGGAACCCCTCCCTCTACCAAGGGCACCATAACATGGGAAGGCTGAGACAGAGAAGGGCTATGCTTTAATGTCCAGGTGTGATCTCAAACACTTGGAATCCAGAGAGAGATACTTTCTGCCAAAGAGGAGCACTTTCTGTCTAAAGACAACAATACAAGCAAATGACCACATATCCTAACCCAGTATCTGGGGTGCATAATGTCAGTTAGAAAGAGGAATCCAGACTGGGCTGGTGCTGAACACATTTGGTGACCACAGAGATGCCAAGAAGTCCCTCATGTGTCTGGGGTTGCTCCTGAGTCCTGGCTGGTTAGGTCCTGGGACAGAAAGCCCTGGAGGCATGTATATGTCTGGGGATAAGCAACCACCCAAAGAGGGGCTTTTGTGCTTATGTGGGAATGTGGGTAACTGAATGCATGTGTCTGTGAGTAGGATGTGTCTCTGTGTGGTGTGTGCATCTCTGTAAATGGTGTGTGTGCATGTTTGCATGTGCCTATGCATGCTTGCTTTATGTATGGTTCGTTTATCTGAGAGTGGCACACATACGTGTGTGTCTGTGTTCTGCCCATCAGCTGGAAGTGTCCTTAACTGCTTCGTCCAACACCTGTCTCAAGCTCTCTGAAAGAGCCTATGACATGCTAGCCCCGCTCGTGGCCAAGTACGAAGTCTTCCCTCATCTTCCTTTTTGAAGCAGCATCTCTCCTGTCTCTTTAAATATGAAAAGAGTAGCAATATCTAGGTTCATCAAGGATCCTGAACCTATGAAATGCCAATCCATCGACTCTTCTCAGATGAGAGTTGTCCTGCAGGCCATGGATGGTCAGTTGATGACAGAGAAATGTCAAACTGGGTTGGAAAGTAGCTGAAGAGGCCTGGGCCTGAGTGAGATCAGAAGGTGTTTTATACCAGCAGCCAGTTCTATAAGGCGTCATTCGGGGTAGGGGATGGAGCCCGGCTGTACTTTTCATGGATTAGAGCCCAAAGGCTGTACTGCTGGGCCCCCGCTGATCAAGCTGGTCAGAAGGCAACTGCTACTGCTCCATGGAATGATCTATGATGAGGAAACACTCAAGGCCTCTCTGCAGGTTTGGATGTCCTTGTGGTCTGGCCACAGGGGACAGTCTTTGACCCCAACTGTGGATTACCTTAAAGTACTTGTCCAGGATTTCACTGTAGTTGCTGCCTTTAGAGAACCAGCTGTCTGGAATGATCTCTGCTTCCAGCCACTGAATGATACGACGCCGGAGCTCGTCGCGGTTGGACTGATAGCAAACGACTGCAGGAAAGGAGGGGCAGGTCAGCTACGCGGTGAGGACCCCAGTGTTACCCAGCACCCACTACGTGCAAGCCTGGGGCTCTGCACCATCTCACTGAAGACCCACAGCACCCAGGGAAGCGGGATGATCATGCACATGCTACAGGGGAGTCAGCCCAGGGCACACACTGGAACGTGTCTTACCCAGGATTCAAGCTCACATCTCTAAAGAATTTATAAACATGAAGAGTATTGAAACAGAGAGACTATGTTGTGTAGGTGAGAAATAAAAAGTAGAGCAGCAAAATAAAGGATATTTTCATTAAGTTTAAGAAACTGAGGGGTAGGGGGAAATCAATCAATCAACAGAACAGCTCTCTTGGCCTAAAGATGAAGCAAAATAATAAATGAATAAAAGAGACCACTGCAATTCCTTATGCCACTGGGTTTCTGATTCTCCCTGTATAGCTTTTCCCTCTCTCACCAACTGGGTCTATCAAAACTTTCTTACACCTGAAATTTTACACTGTCTGCATTTATCCTTTATTATACGCAACAAAAAACGAGGCTACGGAAGGGCCATGTTGAAGCCAGGCCCTGGGCAGTTGTGTAAGCCACATGGAAACAACAGGTGAGGCTGAGGGTTGGGTGGGTCGGGAAGCAGAGGAGGAAAAGACTTGGCCAAAGGGAATTCCTGGAAGACAATACATGTGAAAAGGGCACTGAGCCAGTGAATGAAAATCAGGGCACCTCGCCCCACCCTGCCCCTTTTCAGCTGTGTGATTCAGGGAAATCCACTTGGTCTCTCTGAGCCTCAAGTTCCTCATCCATAAAGATAACTGCAATAAGATCTGCCTCACAAGGTTATTGTGAAGATTTAAGGAAAAGTATATGCTAAAGGGGTCTGTAAGTATAAATTATGATGACATTTTACTTTTTATTCATAGAAAATCACAGAAGAAATCTTACTGGCATTTCAAATTATCCCTTTTCAGAAAAAAGTATGCCTTCTGACCCTGTCATTCCCTGACATCAGCATATCTCACAGAGCACTGAGGGAAGGGAAGGACTCTGGCTTTCTCGTCCTTGCAGTTCAACCACTACTCAGCAAAAATGCCAAGTGCAGTCAACATTCTGACCCAACCAATTGCTTCAAATGGCAAACACAAAAAATGCAGTTTTGCAGTTTCTCTGAGCTATGTGTAGAGTGACCAGTTGTGGGTCACAGGGGCTGACCCACAGATCTTGTGGTCTTCAGCAAGGACTGTGGAACATGAAATGTCCATCATGAAAAGAATTTCCTCCCGAAGATGCACTCACCTGGGCTGGCAGATGGACTGATAGATTTCTTCTCTGAAAGACAAAAGGAGAAGATGCATAATGCAAAGTCAAGAAAATAGAAAGTTTCTGTGTATTATTAGGATTAAAACGGCCCCACATTAAGGGGCCACTTGTAACCTTTTCATCATTTTGTCTTAAGTCCTTGTTTCTTTTCTTTCTTCCAGGACCCAAGTTTAGGGGTCTGTTCTTTCCTGCTTTGTTTGACATTTTGGGGCCACTGAGTTCCCTCCTGGTGTCACACCTTGTCCTCTTAGGTTGAGGAATAGGGGAGGTCACTGGGACCTTGAGAACCCATATGGAATCACTATGGACATGAAATGGAGTGGAGACCAACACATGGGAAACAGCTTCCTGTTTCTCCAGGGAAGTTCAAGACTGAGAAAGGTTAGGCAGGGCAGTGGCTGGGCAGGGGGCTAATGTCTGATGAGCAATGAGCATGGGACCCCTCCCCTCTTATCCTTATGGCAACGGTTTGAGTGTAAAGTAGAGGAAATATAATATTACTAGAGCTGAGAGGTACCCAAATGTTAAAACCATTGGAAAAGTGAAATTTACCTGCTTTTAAAAAAGATACAGAATTCATTTAAATACTTCCTTATTATTACTGATTACTGACGTGGTCCTCTATCCACTATCCAGCTGCAGATAGAGCTGGAAGCCCCCTTGGGGGTCTGATGCAGAAAATCCTGGGCAGAGGCCTGGGCCAACCAGGATGAACCCATCAAGCTCATGAGTGCCAAGAGGATGTGCCTCCAAGAACCTAGGTGGTCTCCATGGCTATGGATGCTGTGGTCAGGGTGGAAAGGACTCCAGGACCCATGCCACGCTGCTCGGCTCGCTAGCTCCGCATGGTTGCAGTGGGAGCACGCCCTACCTTTGCAGTGTCCATCGTAGTCGACCTGGATTTTGGATCCAGTGAGGCAGGCATCTCGATGCAGCTCACAGTGGTTGAGGTAGGTCTTGCCATTGCTGCCACACACAGGCCTCTTGTGAGGTTTGCATTGCTGAAACAGACCCGCAAAGGATGCTCATGCAGTCAAGGGTGCCGGCACACACACGAGCATGCACACACGTGAGCATGTACACACACAAGTATGTACACACGTGCCCCCACAGAGCCATCTTGTGAGGACTCCCCACCAGCTCTGGCATCTGTGACCCTACCCCCCTCAGTGTTGGAGGCACCTTGTCACCTTGCAGTCCCATGTGAGCCCGTGTACTGATCCTGGTCATCTCTTCTATTCAGTGAAGATACAGAACCCCCTCCCTGTTCCACCCCCATAAAACTAGCAGAAAGGGCATTTTATTAGAAGTCAGGAATTTGAGGTTTTTGTCACTTTGTAGAAAGTCACTCAGTGTCTTCGGATGCTCTAAGATCCCTTAAAATTCCAACACTCTGTGACACAAAACAGCCAGAGCTGAGCTGGAAATGTGGAGACTGAAAAGCAGGTAAACGCCCCAATTCTTCAGCTCTTCTGGGGCTGAGCCATAAGAGTCTTTGCTCTCTTGCTTTGTTCAGTATTTTGGAGCCATTCTGTGTTCCTCCTGATCTTACAGTGCCTGTTGTAAGGCTGGGGCTGGGGCGCCTCGTCTTTGTGAAGTACCACAGAGAATCATTATGAACACGGAAATGGACTCAAGTTCACTTGGCAACTCGGTTCTACTTTGGCTACTTAAAGTGCCATGGTCACAGGCGAGCTCTTAAGACTTTTGTGGTTGAAAGGAGAGACAGGGAAGCAAGTTCAGCTCAGACCTAAAAAGGCATCCAAAGCAAAAAAGAGCAGATGCAGTGGAAAGAAACACAGAACACTGGACTGGGAGGTGGCCCAACCTTTCCAGTTTACAGACAAGAATACCAAAGCCGGGAAGATAAACTAGACTTCACCTATATTTATTTCTGGGTTCTACTATGTGCTGGGCACTGGGCAAAGCCAAAATATGGTCTCTGTCTTCATGGCATCCAGTGGCAACCAGCTTGCTTCAAGTCACACAACTGCACGTTTCCAAGCTGAGACTAGATGTCAGGTTTCTGAACCCTATGTCTGAGCTTAAGCCACTACACAGTGACCAGTACATCTCCAGTGAGGCCCTGCCATGGTCCCGGCATATCTGTTTTTCTGGTTTCTAAATTGGAGGACTTCCTCTCTGGGGCAATGGGTCAGGACCCTTCCCCTGGGGACTGAGTTGGGTGTATTTATTTGCAGAAAGACAGATGTATTCCAGGCTTGGGTTGGTTTGACAGAAAGGGGCAAAGGGCACACACCCAGGGTATCTATGTTTGCCTGAAGAGTGAGAACTTACCAGAATCCTGCTTACAAAAGAAGTATTTCTCGAAAGCACATTTTGCTGTTCATAGTTCATTAAAAAAACAAAACTGAAAAACCTGCATTCTGTTTTTTTTTTAATTGGCCTATCCTTTGACTTAGCAAGCCCTACTGGGAATCGATCCTACAAAAATAAAGGCAGCAGCATGTAGGGCTATTTGCACAAGGATGGTATTGTTTAGAGGCAAACAATAGAAAAATGATTACATAAATCTGCTTCTTTTACACCACTAAAAATTATGCAGCTGTTACAAAATGAGTTAGAACTATACATGCTGGCTGGCAGGGCTTTCTGTGATACATGAATGAGTACAAAATGCAAGTGGCATATTACATATCTATTTATATTATGATCCCATTTTTGTATAAGATACAAGGAAACCCTATATGTTTATAGTAGCAAAGGAAAAAGTGTGGAACAGTTACCAACTGTTAACACTGGTTAACTCAGACGAATAGGATTTGAAGGTTATGCGGAAGATTATTGTTTGTACAAATATCTGTAATTTTTTGACTTACATAAAGAAATTATTAATTTTGTAATTTAACAATCTTATAAAGCTAAACATGAAAGAAAAAAAAATATATGCCTGCATTCACATCTGATTTTTAACTCCTGGATGAAAATTCCACTTTTTCAGACAGACAAGGTGTGCTTTCGTAAAGATGACAAAATGGTTGGCACTGCTCTGCCGACTGGCGGCTCCAGCAAGGCAGCCACACTGGCCTGCGCCGCTGTCCTCGGGCTCCCGACTCAGGACTTACCTCAATGCAGAGGCAGGTGGGCTCTCCCTTCTCAGTCACTGCACATTCCCGGCCGGCTCCACAAAACACATTGGCGCAGATCTTGGATTTGCTCCTTAGTTCTTCCTAAAACACAAAATCACAAGGAAAATCGTGTCACTGAAATGAGCCCATCATGGGATGAGCTCTTCCAGGCTCAGGACTCGGTCTGGAGTCACGGCTCACAGTGTTGAAGGGTCCTGAAGAGCCAGAAGCTGTCCCCGGCGACCAGCACCAGCCTTGCTGGCCCTGCTCCAGCCCAGGCCACCTCTGAGTCCCTAAGATTGTTTCTTAAAGAGCAAGAGCTCCTTTCTTGCATGCTCCCTTTCTTCTAAGAATATTTATTGGGTAATATAATATTACCCATGATATGCCAACACTACACTAAGGAATGGAGATATAGGGGCACAGTCCCTGTCCTCAGGAAGCTCCATGACTCTCTGAGGAAGCACAAATAAAGAGATCTTTAGAAAGCAATATGGAAGCACCAGGGAGCTGGAAGGGAGAAGGAGGGCAAGAATCACATGAGGCACTGTGAGAGAGGAGGCCTTGACTGATTCCCAAAGGATGAGAAGAGTAGACCAGGGAGACATGGAAACATTTGAGAGAAATATGGATATCTGAAGGACCAAAATCTCACTGAGTGGTATTCAAGGCAATATCATCTCAAAAGGCAAAAGAAGGATGGCGAAGCCACTGACACATGGGTCTGCTATTATTCGATATGGTCTAATTCAGCCCCTGTCTACATCGGCCTCTTGCTTCAAGATCAAGAGGGTCAAACCATCTGACAAGCTGAACTATCCTCAAACCACTTGTGGTCAGACATTCCTGTTCAGACATGTGCACCAGAATGGAAAAGGCAGGGAATAGCTCCAATCTATGCCTGTGAAAACATGGATGTTTGTAGTCATGCATGTCAGCGACACACTCGTTCTCATACTAATTGGTGGCTAAAAACCAGTGCCACCTCATTTGCCACTCAGGCCAGCAATAGTGGTGGCTGAACGAAGGAGAATGGATTCCTCCAGACACTTGTGCTGACTGGCTGAGCAGGCGATCACCACAGGCCTGGGGCCCTGCCCACTGGGGTGCATCGGCTGAGACAAAACCTACGAAGATGGCAGGAGCTGTGATGGGCTCATGGGACTGGCGGTAGTCAAGGTGGGGATGGAACCTAAGGTTCTGCCCTTCAGGCCACGTCTACTATGCCATGCGGAGAACTCACATTCTCCAAATCACTTCTAACAGTAAATTCTTTTAGCTGGTAGATGTTTTATATCCAAGAATAGGTCAAAGAAAGCAAAAAACAAAGCAGGTATTGAGAGCTGAGGGACTGTGTCCAATACAACTGGTCTGCTGCCACCCAGAGGCTGCTTTGCAAACTCCAGGCTATTATTTTTTCTCCTGAGCCAGCTTGCTGGTCACACAAGGCTCCCATTGGTCTAGAAACCCTTGCCACGCTCACATCTCATTGGTTCACATGCTGTTGCTACACCCATTCTTTTTTGGATGTTGCTAAGGCGAATTCAATGAAGCTGGCAGGCAGGGAAGAAAAGAGGAAGTAATTCCCAGAAGGCTGGGAGGGCTAGAGAGCTGTTGTTTCCTAAACCAGGAATGGAGATAAAATCTAACATATTCTCCAGACAGAGCAGCCCTCTTGGAAACTGTACCTGGGAATAGAAAGCAGTTCTAAAAAAAAAAAAGTGGAAAAGGCTATTGCTGACCAGTATATAAAAAAATCTCAGATAAGACTATCTTCTCCTTTTCCTTTTAGGAAACAGCCCTATAACAGAGGGATACAGACAAATATATAACCTTCTGTGAGTGTGTCACACAAAAACACACAAATGCATAAAAAGCCTGCTCAGACATAGGCCTACACTTAAAGACATACCAGCACACAGTTCCATTGCAGACGCCCACAACTGTTAGACTTATTAGCTGTGTGTTTTAATTCTTTGAGTCTCAGTTTTCTCCTCTGCAAAATAGGGGTAAACACCACCCCTGCCCTGTGAAGATGAAATGACATATTTGGAAGTGCATCACTAACTGTGAAACAAACTGCCCGTGAAAAGTGCTATTAATGTTAATGCTTATAGGATTCCTGCAGAATAATAGCCTGTGGCATTTATGGAGCCTCTTTTTAAAAGCCTTATGTTGCTTTTTAGTGAGTGTTAAGACGAAAAGCTTTCAGTTATAGGTAGAATTCAACCTAAGTCACTTTTCAGAAATAGTTCTCAAAAATCCATGTAAAGATTTCACCTTACTGTGTGGACAGCCTTGCAAGAACATGTATGTTATTAACTCCATTTTATAGAAAAATAAACATCAGAAAGATCAAGTAACCTCTCCAAGATCCCAAAGCTAAAAGTGAGAGGAGCTAGGATTCCAACCCAGACCCTTAGACAATAGATGATTAAGCTTCCATTTATAAATATCTGGCACCCTGCTAAGAGACTTTTATTATACATTAGTTTAGCTAAGCTCTACAACAACGCCATACGTTCAACATCATAATTATTCCCATTTTACAGATGAGAGAACTGAGCCTTATGGGTTAAATAACTAGAAAGTGGCAGATTCTACCCAACCTAAGGGAAAAGCTTTTATATTTATTTTCATACCCAGAAGATTTAAGGTTAAGGAAATTATAGTGAAGATGTGATTTGCATAATTAGTGTCAGTAGAAAGTGCTTAACACTGCGTCAGAGAATTAGATTTGATCCCCTACCTCTGCTCCTCAGTTGCCCGGGTAGTGGGCAAAGCTGGGCAAAGCGCTGTCTTTAGACCGGTTTCCTCATGTGTACAATGAACACATTGATCCCTGTGCGGGCCATGTGGGATTAAATGAGATGTACCGCATGTAGCAGAGTGCCTGCCACACAACTGAAAGTGGCCATGGTGACAGTGCAAAACTGACTTTCAGACAATTTTCCCTCTGAGATGCTGTTGCCACTTTGGGCTGTCAGGTCCCCACCCATCCTTCCTTACATCAGAATGACAATACTGAGAGCAGGAGGACAGACCAAATGGATCAATCGAAGGGCCTGCCAACCTGTTACCCTGTTTGAAGACCACAGAGAAATGCTAGTTACACTAGCATTCCCCTTTGCAGGTGGCGCATCTGTCAATAGGTGGCAATCTCTCTCTGTCTCACAGAGCCCAGAGCCGCAATGCAGGTGCAGCCCTGGCTCCTGCAGCCTCTCCCGGCTTGTCCTTGCAGACATGGAGGAGGGTGGGGGTGGTAAGAGACTGGGGAGGATGCCCAGGAGGCACAGGCAGCGCGAACCCAGAACTGGGGATTTGCCGAGTTGGGAAAGGATGTCTTACCTGACTCCCTCATGGTCCTCCCCAACTTCCCATTCACATGCATGCTTTAATGCAGAAATCAACAATGAAGAAAATTTTCTCCCAAGAGGTGGCTTCTTCGTGCCATCAAACACCCTTCCCCAAGCCCTATCCCCTCTGGGATCAGGAGTGTCTAGAGCATTCCCAAAGTTTCTGGAAAGTTCCTTAGGGTGGTAGGTGTTTTTACCCATCTGCTGAGTGACTGATTCTGAGCGAGGGAGAACATCTTGAGATGTTCATGGCAGGAACACGCTCATGGGGAGGGAGGGGCGTGCGAGGAAGAGAGAGATGAGGTAGGGTTGCAGGTGTTGGGCAGCTGATTCAAGGGGTTTTCCGAATCGGGTGGGCAGTGAGGATCTTGGGAAGCTTGGAATGGGGCCAGAGACATCAAGAATGCGGTGCTTTGGAATAATGTGTCTGGTTCCTTCCAACTTGGGGATTCTGACTCCCAGTTCAGGGCAGCCTGGATGAAGAGAGGCTGGGGGCAGGGAAACCTGCCAGGGGTAAGGAGAGATCTTCGAGGGGGGTGACAATGGGCTAGGGCCTGATGCTAATATTCATTAGAGCACCGACACCGGAGTGAGGCGCTTCACAGATACCTCTGTCCTCACAACGTCTAGGCAGTTTTCGTATTTTCAGTCCCATGTAACAGAAGGGGGTAATTTAAGATTCAGAAAAGCTCTGTGATGTACTAGTGAGAGCTGAGTCAAGACTGGAACACAGGTTTGCCTGACCCCATGGCCCTGATGTTCCTTTACCAAGAACAGTCAAGGGAGTGAGCTCTGGAGAGAGGGTACAGCTCCAAGGGCGGCACGGGGAGAAGTCACGGGGCACAATGCAGTTCTCACAAATGAAACAGATTTTCTTTATCACCGCAGCAATTTTAGGAATTAGGTCCCAAGGCTGTATGAGAATGCCGTCTACATACAGACAACCACATTGGCATATGAATGTTTCCTAAGAGTGTGACATCACAGGTATGAAAACCCACCGGTCTCAATATACCTGTGAGAATGTAATTGACTGGGGAGAAGGGATGTGTTCTGGAAGTGTAGACACCCTGATATGTTGATAAACATCAATAAAATACTTGTTTTCAATGGAGAAACATGAGGTTGGTTTCTAGTTCTATCCATCTGCATCATCTCTCCGACTTGACTTGCGTCTGTGTTGTTTTCATTAAGTGTTGCAAGCCATGCCCTGGGGATCTGGTCTCATGGTTAAGTTTCACAATGCTAATGTCTCTTGGTAAAGACTGACAGGGAACATTGCTGACTTTTACCAGAGAAAAACTTCCCCTCTGAGCAACTGTCAGCCACTGCGTGGTCATGAATGATATTTTATATTTGTACCACAATTGTGATTAATCTTTCATTCTTACTATCATTTTTTATTCTCGAAACCTTTGAGAACAGGCAGGCAGGAGTCATCTCTCTGGCCCTTCTAGATGTAACATCCAATGATGAGGGAGAAATCGAGATGCGCGGATGGTTTACATGTGACTGGTCCAAGTCCTTGTGGGGCTCAACCTGAGTTCTCCAGACTTTAATCCAGTCCTCTTCCCACTAAACTATGTTGCCTCTTTACAAATCAAAGCTAGAAAAGTGTTATCTTGGATCCCCGGTCTAAAAAACAATGATTTTTGAAACTGAAAAAGCAAGTTATTTACAAAACCACCACTAGAGGTGATAGTGTTTCTGAGTCTCTGGGCCCACCAGCAATAAGTCTGAACACAA